TATTATCTCATAACTCTCTTTATCACTTTCATTCTCTATCTCTATTCACTATTATCACTCTTTTCATCTCTTTCACTCTCTACTCTCTCATCATTATCATCATTATTATCTCTACTTCTTCTACTACTTTCTTTCACTCTGTATCATCTCTATTATCATTATCAGATTAATCAGAGCTGTACAGACTGTACAGTCAGCTATTCAATCTCATTTATAAATTCAAAGAGATGTATATAACATCACATGAGATTTTATTACAGAGTATTTAACAGTATATACTATAAACACAGAGATTAAAATGTGATAGAGATAGTAAGAGAGAAGTAGAGATAGTAAAAGTGATAGAAGAGACTGTAGAGTAGTAGAGATAATGATGATGATAGAGAGACTAGAGAGTGAAAAAGATGATAGAGAGAAGTGATAGAGGTGATAGAAATGAGAGAGATAATAGAGATGATAAGAGAGGAATAGAATAGTAAGATGAGAGTAGAGATAGAGAGTGAAAGTGATAGAGAGTGCTGTGAGGCGGTAGAGGCAGTGATGATGATAGAGATGATAGAGGTGATTAGACTGGTCATCAGAACCATGAATTTCACATTTAATCTTATTTAGTCTGATCTCATACATTTCTTAGCATGAATCCCGCTGGGACTGGCTATCAAAAAAACAGATAAAGTGACTATATATCAGATCTTAAAATGAAACCATGACTTGAAAAAAATGAGAAAGTGATCTCATTTAATTCCATTTAGTCTCATTCTTGGCATAAAGTTACTATTTTTAGACATTTTAAGGTTTTTTTAAACTATTTTTAATTTTTTAAAAAGTAACACTTTTTAATAACACTCAAATGAGATTTAAAGTCATTTAAAGCAATAAAAATAATTTAAATTGAGAAGTGGAAATCATGATCTCATTTGGAAAATGTGACAAGAGTAGACAGTAAGTCTCACTGGGACAGTATGGGACTACTATCTAATGTTAAAACTGTGTAATGGGATCAGTCGAATTGGTAATGGGACTATCAAAAAATCTGGTCCTGGTCCCAGACACGGTCACACGGTCAGTCTAGAGGTGATAGAGGTGGTAAGGGGTGATAAGGGGTGGTAAGGGGGGGTCGGAGTGGAAGAAGTGTAGAGGTGGTAGAGGTGATAGAGATGATAAGAGAGTGAGTGGTAAGATGAGAGTAGGGTAGAGATATGAAGTGGAAGTGATAGGGGGGGCTGTGGGGTGATAGAGGCAGTGGTGGTAAAGGTGATAGAGGTGGTAAGAGTGAGTGGTAAGATGGAGGTAGGGGTATGAAGTGGAAGTAATAGGGGGTGCTACGGGGCGTTAGAGGCGGTGGTGATGATAGGGGGTAGATAGAGTGGTGCAATTGGCAGGCGCCACTACATATCCATGGATTTTTGATGAGTGGTGCCTGTAAAAGGCTGGCGTCGCTGCTGTTCGGCCAGCATGGGGATGGATAGCGCAGTGTGCCCAGGGTGGATCGAAATTATATAACAGTCCCTTTGCTCCCTCGACTGAGCATGGCTAGGTCTTGTTGCTTTCAGAAGAGCTGCCCTTGCCAAGTCTGTTTCATAGCTGAGTAGTTTCTAATACAGATTATGACCAGCGTAACATCATTGCGCTAGTCTAGATAGTTCCACCAACAATGATTCCTTGTCTAGCGCAGCGTCTGGGCTCTGAGAGAAACTCACCTCCACTCTTTGTAGCCGCTACAGTAGCACCATTGGCGGACGAATACACGGGAAAAGCTAAGCTATGCGTTTCATGCCTGCAGCAGTGTGGCCTCGACACGATTAATATAGCTAGCTTATTCGTGTCGTCTCTTTTGACTACATACAATGCCTTTGGGATGAATAGCTTAGGTTTTCAAAAGAGATTCTTACAGCTTGGTAGAATTCGTCACCCAGCATCCGGAATTTCTAATTTTCCGGGCGCAGTAAATAGCATGCTGCTAATGTGCCACGTGACATATTATTTCCCCCTATTTTACCCAGGGGAGATGCTTCGAGCTAGTTTCTTCCTCTCTCCTTTGCTGCGACTTGTTCCTAGAACCAACCTCCTACTTAATATTAAACATATTCCTTACCTAATTAAGAACCATATAATTCTGTACATACAATTCCTTACACGCCATCCGATTTCGCCCGCAATCCATTTCGCTTGCAATCCCATTTCGTTTCGCTCGCAATCCATCGCCATTTCACTATCCATCGGCTCGCAATCCATTTCGCTTGCAGCCCATTTGGCTCTCACTGTTGATTTCTAGCAACTGTAGTGCTTTCTGTTGTTGTTTCTCACTCAACATCTCTCTATTCTCACTGAACATTTTTATGTTGAGGAGTAAAAACACAGGAGCATTCCATGTATAGCCTTGAAATGAGATAATTACTCTGTCAGTAAGAATAGCAGGTGATGAAAGTTAGAACAATGTGGACCTGAAGGGCAGGGCCATCAAAACTTTATAGAATTGTAGAAAGGAAAACATATTCAAGTAATCAGACAATTGTCTGAAGAATTATACTGTGATTGATGTCTGGCTTAAGGAAGACTTGGGGAAGTTTCTGGCTTAGGGAGGACTGCTGGCCTAGGGAGACTGCTGGCCTAGAGAGACTGCTGGCCTAGGGAGACTGCTGGCCTAGGGAGACTGCTGGCCTAGGGAGACTGCTGGCCTAGGGAGACTGCTGGCCTAGGGAGTCTGCTGGCCTAGGGAGACTGCTGGCCTAGGGAGACTGCTGGCCTAGAGAGACTGCTGGCCTAGGGAGTCTGCTGGCCTAGGGAGACTGCTGGCCTAGGGAGACTGCTGGCCTAGGGAGTCTGCTGGCCTAGGGAGACTGCTGGCCTAGGGAGACTGCTGGCCTAGGGAGTCTGCTGGCCTAGGGAGACTGCTGGCCTAGGGAGACTGCTGGAACCCAGGTTATAATCATCACTAACGAATCGGGTCTTTCATGGTCACAGGAGGACAATTAACGTAGACCAGGGGTCTGAAGGCATATAAAGCCAGCCTTCCTCCCGCTTTGCTTCTATCGCTCCATCTCCCCTTTTCTCCTCACGAAGGCCACTCCAGCTTTGCAGGCCATCCGACGTCACACTTCTAGATCTTCTATCGAGTCGTTGGCAAAGCAGTGCCAGCACAGAAAAAAGACTGCCTCAGCATAATTTCTGCTCCAGCACAATTCCCGCATTTGTCTTGAGAACTTTTCTAAATTTACAGACCCAGAATGATGTCTTTGCACTGAGCTTTCTCATGTTGTAGACCTTTCCTTGGATGGGTTCTTATATGCTTTAAGTTTTGTGAGGACAAACAGAATCGCGCTGGCGTTATTCTCAGCAGTTCTTCCCATATTGAACCGGCTGCGCCGCTTCTTAGCGGCTAAAGCTGAGGTACCCGTTTGGGCTCTTGATCCCTATTACGGACTAGCGCAATGCATCTCATTGTACCTGGTTAACAATCAATACGGCACCTCCACATCCCACAAGCAGCAAGGCTTAGCCGTTTCTTGGCGTATGGAAGTGCGTGTTTCAATTTTTGCATTCCTGCAATCTCGATTTCTACATTTGTGTACTTCCATCTTCTGCACGGTCAAGCCCCAAACCGACGAGAGGTGCCATTCCCAGCCGCGTAGCCGATCAAGAAACTTGGCGCTCGAGAAACGTACCCTCGAGAACAAATGGACCCTCAACATTCTAACCGTTAACACTTAGGACCATTCCAACTGATCAAGAGCTAAAAGATGACCACGCCCATTGTCTGAATGTATATTAGAACTTAGTTGTAGCCCTGCGTAGCCACCAAGCTGAAAGGGGAAAGGAATAATCATCATCATCATCATCATCTTCATCTTCTGCACGGTGTGATTTCGAATAGGCCACAGTTTCAGATCGCAGATCGTGGCCCAAGCATGCAAGCGCCGCGACAAAGCGACTAGTCACATCTGACAGAAGTACACATTTAAAAAACGACTTTTGGCTCAATGAAGCACAACACTCGCTCGTAGCTATAACTAGGTGAAAGGGAACTGAGAGTCTCTTAAAATTCCTTGACCTGCACAAAGAGAATAGAGAGAACAGAGAGAAACAGTAGAGCAAACAACAAAGCAAACACAAATCAACATCTTACTGATAGACTGAGTCTATTCATTTCATGAACCAGGGAATCCCAGTGACAGCTAGGCTTAAAGAGAATGCTACTTGACCTAACATACGAATAGAGCGCAATAGTCAAGTATTTAAAACCAAAGAGAAGAAGAAGAGGAGAAGAAGGAAAGAAAAGAGTTATTTCGCGAGATGTTGCATATAAACAAAGAAAAGCACATCGAGGCGTGCAAAGCATACGGAAATGAAGTACTGAATTACTCTGTTGCCGAAGTTCACTGGCAGCTAACGCACCGCCGTACCTGTCAACCGGACGGGGACCAAAAGATAGCAGAGGGCAATTGCGGCTGCCCTCCTCGACCGACCTTGAGCGCTCCTAAGCCGGTTCTTGGGAGCTGCATGACCGATGAAGGCGAGGTGTATTCACTTTCCAAGCTGCTGAAGAACGACTTGCACTGGTGCCCGGATAAAGAAAGTGGTGATGTTGCTGCGTATTAAAACACAGTGGTATGATTGAGAGTACTGTATACTGTAGCACGAATTTGTCAAGCTTCGATAGTAAAGTTTCAGCGCCATCTTTTCTTGCTTAAAAGCGTGGGTCCTGAGAATGTTCAGTGATTTTCATCAGTAAGACCATGTGGAAAATGATCCAGAGCGACACGATAACTTCAGACAATTATGAGGCACATCCAAGTAAACTTGTGAAATTGCGGTGCTTCTACCCTACAGGAGAACATGCCAACCAAAGCCAACAAAAACAGGAATGTTAATCATAAAAAGGAGAGGGGGGGAGGGAGCGGGGTATTAACTGCTGATAATTGCATGCGTTCGTATTAATAACACCATCATTTGCCTGCACTCCTCAGTTTTTAAGAATAAGCGTGACCTGAAAAGAGCAGTTATGCTGTCTTTCCTCTCCACGGACCCTGAGCCGGGTTTGGCGGGCAAAGAACCCATTTCAGAACCTTCTGAGCAGTGGTCTTGTCATAGCAAGACATGCTAAAATTATAAAAAGCTCTCAGTGCGAACGTAAGGGAGGTGGATGCGTTTGATGGATCACAAGTCGCCTGAACCACCCGTACTTTGCCGGGAATAAAGGTCACAACCGTGGCCAAGAAGAATGTCAGCGTTGCATCCATCTAAAAAGGAGGAGAAATGGGCGATGAACATACGACTAAAGGACCACCCGAGTATATTAATTCCGGCTCCGTATATTTGGATTTCGAGGGGTCCCAGCGTACTTCATTCATCTGGCGGTATATGATCGAAGTGATTCCCATTATTTCACTTCGAAGAAGATAATCCCTACAGCTCTTGTGCTGGTTCAATGGTGAGTGATCTCGGATCATAATGCCCCAGTGATCTGGCCTATGTCGAAAGAGACGATGCGCAAGAACGCGGCGGTGGCCGTCAGCGGCCAAGCCTTGACCGAGGATGGAAAACAATGGACCATCACACCTGTAGGAAAAAGGGACGGTAAGTCACAAAGAGTCACAACGTAGACCAATAGAGTTAAGGAAAACTGTTTATTCTCTTACTTTGCTTCAGTTTTGATTGTAACTTCTTTTTTCAAGTCATCGATAGCTAATCCCATCCAACCAGTCCAACTATAGTCGGCGGGCGGGCAGAGGAAATTCGGGGAATTTGGGGAGTTGATCCTCGCACATTTCCGGATAGCTTGTTCAAGACTCGGCGGGGTTGAAATCCCAACCTCTTCCTTTGTCGTGTCCTTGCAAACCACTTCCAAATCCAATGTTTTCTGCAGCCAGTCAAAGGAGAACAGATCTGGAGTTTCTGATCTATACATGTGAAAAAGTGCACACATCAGTTCACTGAACTCATGCGGGTCTGAGAAAGGCTTGAAGTTGACGCATTCCATGATAGTCGACGCTTGATGTTTTGACGTGACGCTGAAGTCATCGATCCAAGGCAAGCTTCATCTGCTTTTGCCTCTCACACCACTTTGGCACGTGACCCCAACCTATTGTCGTTAGACCGCTGTAGCCTGCCTCGAATACTAGCAACTAATCCGCTCTATCACCTTTTACTGTCTTGCGACTTTTCACCATTTTTTTGGCTGCGCACATTCCGGCATTGGATTCTATATCAGTAAGTACATTTTCTTCTGAAGTATAAGCGGGATTGAAAAAGGTCGCTAGTCTTCGCAACTGTGGGTCCTTCAAACTCCATACTAATGTTTACCTTCAACCTTAGTCCTACAGTGCCTTGTTCCTAACCGACCCACTCGCGCGTCTATTCTTCGAAATGGCGGAGCTTCCCAGACGGAGGTGGAAGGCAGTTGATGGCCTAGATAAGATCCCATCCACTGAGCAGGAGTGGCTTGAAATGGTCACAATGTATAGCTTGGTCAATGCCAAACTCCAGGACTTGTGCTTCTATGGTAGGCCCCTCAAGTACTTCAACAGAAGTTAGCAGCATTCCCTAACTTTATTTCTCCAGGATAAGGTTCTTTCTCTGCGTCAACAGTGCCTAAAGAAGCCTTCCTCACTGTCCGATGCATTTGACCAGAAGTGATGGCTGTTGGGGATGCATTACTATATATTCTCAGGACGGGGTCGTACTTCAGTGATGAACATGTTGCCCAGGCTACAAAGCTTATCAATAGGAAACTTCTCAGACTTGACAAGTTAGACACTCTGTTTGATGTCATCTGTTCCCAAACAAAGACACCTCGTGAATGGTTATGCACGCTTGCAGATGGACTAGGCCCATTCTCAATGCTTGTTAGTTTAAAAAGGCAAATTCTAGACAAAGGACTGCATACTGCTCCAAGAGAGGAGTCTCTCCCTATAACTTACGCGCCAAGAAAGGGGCATTACAACACTTCTCAAAGTTCATCAGGTCAAATTCCTGATTCTCTGACCCTCAGGCACCCTAAGCGCTTGCGCCTAGGAGATTTTGATGCCATTGATGACCATCCGGCTCCAAGCGAGCCTCCTACTCCGCCTAACATTGAACTAACAGAGGAAACCTTAGATGAAATTCCGGATGACATCCCGGACCCACGGACTCCTACTGAGACTCTGGTGGTCGATTTTATGGTCAATCTTCTCGGGGGTTTAGCATGTCTTTTACAGCCCCTTGCTTACCGGACTGTTTGCGTGGCTAATGCCTTTGAGACAACCTATCAATTTGGCCCACTTCCGAATGGTCCGATCGCTTCAAATCATGTACAGTTCTGAGCACGTATAGACGGGAGCATCCCCTTCAGCCTGCCTCCGGACAAAAATCTTGTATAAGATCTGTCCCTCTGATTCTTTCAATGTGTATGTTCTCAGAGAATATGATTTGAGTATTTTATATAACTCAAACCATCTAGATTGAAACTTCTCAGAACTCTTATTATATACAAGAATCTATGTTTTCATCTTGAGACTCAATTTCTTAACTAGTGAGTCTTATATTCTTTTCAATTGAATTGCTCAGTTCAGGAGTAACTTATTAGCTTTTGCATGTGTATAACTGATCTTCTTCAATCTTAGTTCTGTGTCTGCAACTGCTGTGTCTGTAACTGCTGTTTCTGCTGCATCTGTAACTGTTGCATCTATGACTGTTACACTCACAACTGCTATTCTCTCTCTCATCTTTTTCAAAGCATTCTCTGAAATGTGCGAATGCAATTCATACAATAGATAGAATGATGAATACTTGAAGACTACATACTATTAAATCTGTGTGATTAATAGCATCTATCTGAGATATTTATCTTATAGTCTTATAGACTTACTCACTAGATATTTTATCAGAATATTACTCAAGATTTTATTTAAGTGTTTTATCTTTTCATTTATTCATGAATGATATAGTGTTGTTCTATAATATCTTATCTGTAACTAACTTATAAAATGTCTTACTACTTCTTTTACAAGATTCACACTATTATCAGTTAGAATCTCATATAATATTTCATAGTTAATATAGATCTTATTATGTAGAAACTTTATTATCATCTTCTCTATTATTTCTGAAACTGCTTTTATAACTAGACTGACTGCTGAAATCATGAATTTCATATTTGATCTCATTTGATCTGATCTCATACATTTCTTGGTGTGAATCCCGCTGGAACTGACTATTAAAAAAACAGATAAAGTAACTATATATCAGGTCTTAAAATGAAATCATGACTTGAAAAAAATGAGAAAGTGATCTCATTTAATCTCATTTAGTTTCATTCTTAGTATAAAGTTACTATTTTTAGACATTTTAAGATTTCTTTTAGACTATTTTTAATTTTTTAAAAAGTAATGCTTTTTGATAATGCTCAAATGAGATTTAAAGTCATTTAAAGTAATAAAAATAATTTAAATTGAGAAGTGGAAATCATGGTCTTATTTGAAAAATGTGACAAGAGTAGACAGTAAGTCTCACTGAAACAGTATGAGACTACTATCTAATGTTAAAACTGTGTAATGAGATCAGTTGAATTGATAATGAAACTATTAAAAAATCTGATTCTGATTTCAGACACGGTCACACAGTTAGTCTATTTATTCAGATGTGTTTGTCTCAATATAGAAAGATTTATCATAATTTAATTGAATAAGCACTGAGAATATTATTATATATTCTCTCAGTGTGAGAAAAGTCTCTTTATATATAGTATTTTAGATAATTGAATAAAACTTCTTCTTTCACAGATTTGTATCTGTTTCTCTTAAGAGATCTGAGAGTGATATAGATATTTATATAAAATTCTTGATAAATCTACAGTAATATAAGATTAACTCAAGAAACTGTTGTTATAAGAATAAGTGCTCACAGGCGATTATTCAAGTGTTTGCAGCTTGGCGTGATATGTACTGTTAACTACTAGAAGTATTCACAGTAGAAATATAAATGTAGAGATTAAATATATAATAGTATTCAAGCTGAGTTATGAATAGTATTTATGAACTTCAGTCTATATAGTTATGTATAGTCAAGAGCTGCTAGCTCTATTAATTATATAAGAGATAGAAATAGAGATAAAGAATCTGTAAGAAGTGAGATTTCTTACATATTTCTCTCTCTCTAAGACTTCATTTGTGAAGCCTTTCACTGAGTGACTTTATAAAATCAGCTCAGCACTGCAGTGATACTCACTAAAAATTCTTCACATCTATAAAAAACCTCAGTGAGGAAAAATTTCTTATTACTATAAAGAGAAAAGAGTCTATTACTCAGTTTCTTATTCTATAAGATTCTTTATAATCTACAGATTCTTCTCTGATTATTACACAGATTCATCTCATATCTTTTATATAGAAGAATTTTAGTTAACTCTTCATCATTTTCACAAGATTTATGTGTAATCATTATATAGATTTATCTCACAGATGAATCACTCTCTGTGAGATTATTCTCATTAAAGAGAAGTATTCACAAGTTAATCTTTAACTTATTCTTATAAATCAATGTTCTTTAACACTGTAAAATTATGAGGAATTTTTCATTCTTTCATCAACTCTGTAAAATTATAGAATTAAGATATTCATAATCTGCAATTACTCTTTATAGTTATATAGAAAGATTTAGATCTGTAATTCATAATCACTCTTTATTTATTAGAGTGATCTGACTGTTCTGTAGAATCACTCACAGTATAAGTAAATCTCTCTAGAGTAGTATAAATATCTCAGATCTATTCACAGAATCTCATCTTCTTTTCTCTTTTTCTATAACAGCTCTTATTCTCATAAACTGTGAGTATTCTCATTTATTCATAAAGTATTTTCACTCAGATAATAGAGAGAGAGTGTTTCTAACAATATCTATATATTAATTCAAGAACTTCTTAAGAATAAAAATCTTTTTCAATTTTAATATCTTTATAATAATGTCTGACTGCTGCTGAGCTTCTTATGAGCATTTTCATAACTTCTCTAATCACTTTTTATCAGCTGATAGAGCAGGGATATTATCACTTATAATAGTGTCTTCACTTCTCTCAGCTCTATCACTGCACTCAATCTTCAAATCAGCAGTCAATTTCATATCTCTTTCAGATCAGCTTCTGACTTTAAGTAGCACAGTTTCTCTCTTTACTATAAGTCTTCTTATAAGTAATTTCTTACAGATTCTAGTTAACAGTTCTTATAAAGCTTCTAGTGTTATCAGTGTCTTCTGCAGCTCTGCAGATCTATAATCATTCTCTCTCTATCTGCACAATCTCTGATCAGATATATATAAATATGTCTAGGTTTTCTATCAATGATTCTCACGTCATGGCGCATTTCTGCAATTTCATTATTAATGAGAGATGAGTTTCTGAGTACTTATAAAATTCAGGTAATTAAGATAATACAAATGCTATGAATTCATGACAGAAGTTGATCTGAATAGATAAGTCTTCTCTTCACATCTTAATTATTTTCAGGCTGAATACTTCAGTATAACTAAAGCTTTTAACTATACTAAAACAAGAAGTGTAGCAAAACTTCCAGTCTTAGAATATAAGTTTCAGAATGAATCATATACAGCAAACTCTTTTGAGAAAAAATGTCAAGCTTTCATGAGAATTCTCTTTCAGAACTCATCAGATTCAGATTCAGATTCAGATTCAGATTCAGAGAAAGAGAATATATCACTTCACAACTACATTGATAAAAATGACTGAGAATGGCCTGATCTTACACAAGATGAATTAGAGTCAGCTATCTTCTCAAGTTCTGTTAAAACTGCTGCAGGTCCTGATTCAATTAATTACTTGATTATTCAGAATACATATTTCTACTTAAAAAATGAATATGTAAGAAATCCCGCTTCTCATGAATTCTTTACCTCTATTTCTATCTCTTGTGTAACTAATAGAGCTAGCAGCCCTTGACTACACACAACTATATAGACTGAAGTTCATGAATACTATTTACAACTCAGCTTGAATACTATTATACATTTGATTTCTACATTTATCTTTCTACTGTGAACACTTCTAGTAGTTAACAGTACATATTATATCAAGCTGCAAACACTCAAATAATCATCTGTGAGCATTTATTCTTACATTTCAAGCTCAGTCAGTCTGTAAGAAATCCCGCTTCTCATGAATTCTTTACCCCTATTCCTATCTCTCGCGTAATCAATAGGGCTAGCGGCCCTTGGCTACACACAACTATATAGACTGGAGTTCATGAATACTATTCATAACTCAGCTTGAATGCTATTATACATTTGATCTCTACATTTATCTTTCTATTATAAACACTTCTAGTAGTTAACAGTACATATCATGCCAAGCTGCAAACACTCAAATAATTGCCTGTGAGTACTTATTCTTACATTTCAAGCTCAGTCAGTCAGCAACTGCCTGTTATAACTGAAAGAACTAGAAACTTACATACTTCAACCTCTGCAAACCCTACTGCAGACACTCAGGAGCAGTCATCTGAATCATGAATAACTCTCATAGAAGAAGTCTCAGAGAACTTATCAATCACTTATGAGACATCATTCTCTGCATCTGTGACAGAGGAACTCTTCAAACTCATGAATGAATCAATCTCAGTGAAGAACATTCTTGAGCATCTCTCACAGAATCAAGCTATTTTTCTATAAGAAATACTTACTGTCTGCAAACACTCTTAAACTGAGTTTCTAGACATAATCTTCAGAGACACCTGTGAACTGAAAAGAAACTTTCTCAAGCTGTGACTACTTAAGGCCATCTATTAAATCATAATCTATAAAAGCTTTTGCAAGTTTGTATTTGAAATTGACTCATAAGCCTGACTGTGTGACATGAAAGATGAAGAAGCTGTCATCTATGTGATGACAGGCCTCTATTACACTGAAGCTAAGAACTGACTGAATCATCTAGAGAATGATTATAAGAGATTTCAATGATCTGTTCTCAAGACCTATTTAGAGAATAAGTTGAGAGACTCTGTGAGTTGAACAGAGAACATCTGAGCTGCAATTATCAATATTAGAAAAAGAGATGAGAAATCTGATAAAGACTACTCACAGTGCTTTATGAAATTGTGACATGAATTAGAATCTGTGAAAACAGGGCTCTGAAATAAGATCTGAATGATGATGTTCATGAAGAGACTGAATAAAGATATGCAGAACAAGCTTATTGAGTAAGACTCTAAGCTCTTGACTCTGAAGAAACTGATGACTCTCATTCATCACTTATGAATCACTGTGAGAGTCACAGACTTACAGAGAGTGAATCATTGATCAGCTCTGTGAGAGTCAGAACAACAGAGAACAGGTTTATCAGAAAAAGATGATAAGATATAGAGAGATT